CTCACACATATCCCAGACTGCCCAAGAGGATGTGACTGCATGTTGTGTGATTGTAACAACAGTGTGTGTAAGAGCTCTGTTCATTGTCATAATTTCATTCTTGACGTTAGATGTACAGAAATTGCTTTAGATGTAGATGAAAGTGTAAGTGTTTTAAAGCATTTTGCGCTTACCAAGAACTGATTTTGTTTTAATGGTTTACAGCAAATTTTTGTGTTTGTACATTTGAATAAAATGTGATGTCTCACCTCTCTCTGCGATAGCATCTCGTCCTTTATTTATATGTGAAGTAGAGGGAAAAGGTGGTAGTACAATAGCTCAGTTGATATCATGCTATATGGCTGACTGGTTCGAGTCCCTGCAGGGAGCTTTTAACCATGATTTGAAAGTTTTCAAGGCTCTTCACAGACTTGACTTGGTTTTATCGGAAGTGGGCGCTCAATTAACAGTCCCCGCACCCATACTTGGAAAGCACAGCATTTCGAACTGAAACAAATAACTAAAGACAAGTCCTAAATATGTGAAACCAGGAATATGTCTCTAAACCTTGAACCTAGATATCGGCAATAATATTCGGTCCGGACCATTCTGGATTTTGAGTTATACATACCAAGGGATTCCCCAACCGTTTATAAAAATAATTCGAGCCGTTTCTTGTAAAAACCACTTTAAATCAATAAAATATTTTTTCTCAACTTATTTGCATTCAGGTATTATAAAGCAATACAGTAGAACATGGCTATAGCAGGACTTTTAGTTCCAGAAGAAAAATCTTGATGTGGGCGAGTTCCCGCTATAGGAATGCAAAGGGAAATTACTGAAAAAATCACACACAGCACGCTTCCCTCTTCTTTTACCGTCTTCTTTGACGTAGCCTAGGCGTAGGCCTTGGCCTTTGGCATATCACTTTTGGAGTGGCTCACGTATAGCGTCTGTACGCGCCATCTCTCTCTGCCGCCCGCCCCACCTCACTCATCACTGGACTGGCCAATCACAACGCTGCATCACTGACTGCCAGTTTGGAGCCCACCTACAGGCCCCTTCCCCCTAGCTAGAGCTCACTGGATCTCTCCCGCTGTATCAAAGTTCGAGCCTTTCCTTGTCCCGTCAAACCCAAGCACAAGTAATTGAGTTTACATTTTTTTAAAAGGGGGATTCCGGTAAGGTCGCGCTGTAGGTGCAGCTATAGTCATGTTCTACTGTAATGGTGTAACTTAAGCGTTTTTCTCACTTCTTATTTTTCCTCATTTTTTCTAGAAAAAAAATTGAAAAATTTTAAAGTGCATAATCAGGAAGATCCCAGCTTTCAGAAAAGCACAAAGCCTCTAAATGGTCCAGACGCGACGTGTTCCTGATTTCCTCAGACCAACTCACGTCCAAATAGAACAGATCTCTCCATCACACCGTAGCAAATTAACAAATGGTGGGCAAGTCAAAACACATAATTTTTTGCAAGTATTGACATATTCAACAAAAAAATTTCAGAACTCCAATTCTGTTGTGAGAAATTGTTCTACAATGTTTTATTCTGAAGTCTGCATGTACAAATATGTCTATTGTGCATTTAGAGATGCAAAGAAAAAGAAAATTCTAGAAATAAACTTGAGAAATGTATAGCCATAGAATAGATTGACATTTGAACAGTGTACACTGAGACATGTAAACCTTCGACCAACAACAATATTCATCTGCACATCCAGAGTAATTAACTGTAAATATTGTAGTAGAACATAAGTACATCACTAAGACAGAGGCCTACATAACGTGGAGTCTACAAGCTGCTTGTCTTCATATCACAAAGCATTTAACAAGGATTTCAAAGATCTCTTTCCATCAAATGTAATGCCTTGCACTCAGACTCGGACACTGTTGAAGCAATCTGATCATGACGCAGAGCCAAAAACATTTTTTTGGTAGTGATGCTGCACCCCCTGATAAACATTTTAATGTCTCAGCTTTTCAAAAACTAAAACACTCACCCTACTGACTGCTTGTTTCTTTTGTTTGTGTAAGAGAAGCACATCGATACAATAACTGTCATTAGTGAAGGGGAAAAGTAAAAATGACAGACAGAAAAAGAGGGAAAGAAAAGAAAAGGGACGCACCAGTGGCACCCTCTAAATATACTGCTTGTCGATTGTTTCAAATACATATTTGAATTTGAACAAAAACTAGAACAATTATAACCAGGTATGTAAAGAAACAAAAATAGATATTATACACGCATGCATTTTTTTGCCTTTTCCACCTCAATTTAGTTTTAAATCAAGTCTTGCTATAATTATTTAACACAGAAACCATACACCACAGGCTTTTTTCCTACCTGTTAAAGGAACTTACTTTATAGAATTTATAGTTTTCTTCTCAAATATATTCCAAAGTCAGATTTCAGAAAATGCTAATCTTAGACAGAGACAAGCAGTGTAAGAGTGAAACTATGAGACAGAAACAGAAGACCGATGTACAGGTTCCTGACAAATGGATGGGCATTATGTTTGGCTTATACTAATATAGTCCATGCCGGCTTTAAGCACGGTCATCGGGAGAAAGCTTATGTGTGCTTAATGCTGAAGCGTGCTTGAGTGCGAAGTAGATATAATCCAGAGATTTTCATGTAGAAAATTTCCCGTGCTATTTCCCTTTATTTGTAAGTAAGCCTATAGTGGTCCCGCAAAAGTGTGCACTGTTATTTACATCCGCCATGGTAGTTTTTGTTTACTTGTTTGTTTTTGTTTTGTGGTGGAATGGGAAATGAAAACTTGATTTAGATGGCCAGTCACACTAGGCCTACACACTACACACTGCCTGTGCGTACCACTGCCCGCTGTGCCACATTCATACCACCGCCTTCATCCCACCTCGCGCGTGATACACAATCAGGATTAATGGATAGCGAGGGTCAAAGGTGAAATTGCAGCCAGCCTCCCTTTCTCTTCTCCCCGACTCTCTTTGTATTTTTTTTGTCGTGTGTAGCTTTGCCCTAGGCTAGATCCTATGTCCACGGGCGCGGCTGTGTGCATCTCTCTGTCTTCCTCCCTCCGCGCGTGTGAGTGTGTGTGTGTGTGTGTCTCCATCACTTGCGTTCTTTGTGTTTCTCTTAACCCACTCACTGCTGCGGTGTAGACTGTGTTCAAACTTCAATGAGTCATCATGAAAGTATTGACTGTCTTGAAAATGAAGCGTGCCTGAAGCCGAAGTTACCGTGCTTAAAAGCGTGTAATTTATGTAGCAAAAATTCGGTAAGAGCCGTTAAGCGTGCTTGAGTCCAAAACGTGCTTAAAGCCGGCACGGTCTGTACCTTTTTGCTCTGTGTTTGTTGGTGTGTGATTGTGTGTGTGTGCGTGCATCCATGCAACACCCTGTCTAAGATGTCCTGTAGTCTTAAAAAGTTACCACTGTCTCTGTTTACCCTCCAAAGCAATAAAAATATTAGACATTGATGCCTTTCATTATCCATGTTCTAGGCAAAGCCTTTCAAAGGCTGTGGTTTGCACTGTCCACAGACTAGATGTACAGTCAGGTACAGATAACTCAAACACGCCGGGGATTGACAAATGTGATCCACACACCCATAATTCAGGTAAACCATCGCCTATATGGCGAACAATTAAAGAAAAATCAGTCCGTGACTGGTAAATTGTAGAAACTTTCCGTGACTTCGAGTAGAACGTGTTTGTGTTATCTGTGCCCAACTGTATATTCTTTAGCCTACCCTTACAGCTTTCTTGCCTCTTATCACATCCTGACACAGCCAATTCCCTCTCCTTCAATCTCCTCAAAATCCACACATGCAATAAATGTGACACAGGACATATTATGTTTTGATTCAGGATCTTGTGCTCTTAAACACGAAGCACACTTGAATAAATAGATCACATTTTAGTTAGTGTCGATAGTTCATACGGCTAAAATTGTACCCTTTTAAAAAAAATTAGTTTGAGCATGTGGTTTTTATTGTCATGAACAAAAAATTCTGGTCTTGGATCTGTTACAGGTCTATTTCCCAGTACAAGATAAAAAACCAAATTCCACTATGAGTGAAAATAAAATTAGCAGTTTTTTCCAAGGCCATCAATCTCAGCCACAAGCAGTCAGAACCAAGAAACAATAATATTAAGAATTCAGTTCAAAACCAAAACTCCTCAGCCCGCACTCTCCAGACCTTTATCCCACCCTCTACATAACAGTACATAAAATAAACACACATGCATGCATATATCATCGTGGAACAAAACCTACCAAAACTTAGCAGTTTCTGTTAATATCTTTCCTCTTAGCATGCAGCATTGAATGGAATAATTCAACTTTTCTCAGAAGGCAATCCTGAACAGACCGAGCACTCACTGTTAACATTAGTTTCCTCCCTTTTGAAACGTCCCTTAAAATTTTTTTTAAACAAACAAGAAGAAGAACAGCAAAATTACTGTTGCACCACTTAGAGAAACCCAGCAAAAGTTTCTTGTGAAGAACAGTTGAGCATGAATAACTCAAAACACATCTGGGATTAACAAATTTGTGTTTTGACGCATAGAGAATTTGGGCTAACCAGTAACAAAATATCAAAAAGATATCGCTCAGGGAATGGCAAACTACGAGTTATTCATCATTTCAACTTTTCTGTGCTTGTTTTATCTGTGCCAATTGTATTACATTCCCACTAATTTGAATGAATAAATACTACCATTAATACTTCATGCATTAAGTACATGGGCAACAAGACAAGACAGTATTAAAATATTTTCACTTCCTTAAGACTCCATAAAATTCTATACATTCCAGTAGGGCAATAAAATACGTTTCTGAGCATTTGATGAAAGCGTTTTGGAGCTACAGTAATATGCACAAAGTGTCAAGGATTTCTGTACTTTGTTTGCAATTTCTGAATTGACTGCAGAAAAGAAAAATCCTTAGAAATTGTAATTGACAATATTACTTATACAAATTACAATTATATTTCCATCATGATCAAACAGACATATCGCTCTCTCTTTCTTTCTCTCTTACTCACTCACTCCCTCCTTCTGGTACTGATCTTCACACTTTCTTCACATTCTCATGCACAATCAGAACCACGGACAACAAAGAAAACCCACAAAAATGACATTCATAATATTCCCCCAAAATCATTTGTCATCACACAAACACACACACACGTACACGAACACACACATCTCTTTCCGTCTCACATTCTTGTGTCCAAATGAACTCCCTTTCTCTCTAGCACATAATCATTGTCATGGTGGTTTCTATACACTAAAGTGTCTGGCTGGAAAATGCATGTATACAGCAGTATCATAACACACACAAGTTTTCCTTCACTAATTCAATACATGAAATAGTGCTGAACAAGTCTGTGTGATCACAGTGATGAGTAACTAATCTAGCTGAACAAATTTGTTGGAACATCATTTTTACGAGAAAAAAAACAAAAAACACCAACAAAAAAACAACCCACAGCCATTCATACACATATGAAATAATATTATATATAGATAAGATGAAGAAGTAAGATCAAGACAAGAAAAGGAAGGACAAAAATAACAATAAATAACAAGTGGCAAGCCCACACACAGTCAGAAATTAAACAGCCATAGGAGCAATTCTTCATCAGTACAAAGAGGGGGGGGGGTGGTTGTTATCCCCAACTTGTAAGAGAAATAAACCGCCTCTCAACTTCTTGCATCATTGAGTGTAAAGACATGCTCAACACTCAGAGAAAACCATGCCCACATAATATCAAAGATTTAGTGAGAAGTAAACATTACTACAAGGCGCACATTACAAGTGTATAGAATATAAAAAGACAAACTGCTTTGGAATCACGGCCAGAGTTTTAAACCCCACCTCCTACTTTGCCTTGAAGTGCCTCATACTATCAAAGCTGGTAATACTATAATATGCAGCAGGAAGTTAATGAAATTTTTGTTAATTAAAAAAAAAGGACTTGTTGCCATATATGTACATCGAGAATAAAGCAGACAGGTGTGTATATCAAGTACTATGGACTAACATTCTACATTGATTCACTGAGGATGTCACTCTTCAGAGATGCCAAACTGACTACAAAATAAATCCTGGACTTTTCTGTCTCAGTGGAAAGGCATAAGCGATGATTCAAAATTTATGGATCCTATTGACTAATGCATCTTGTTTCCAAACTACTTTAAAATGAAATATAATATGACATGTAAAAAGAGATTAAAATATAAATAAATGTAGGAGTATATTACAAAATCTGGTCAGTTTTTGAAATACAGATTTCCAGATTTATCTGGAAAATCAGCACCTCTCACTCTTACTCTTATGGTTGTCCTAAGTCTGTGCTGACCTTTTGAGGAGAGACTTGTAAGAAAAAGAGTGTTTTCATACAGTGAATATTAGGAGACCAACTAAGGCTTAAAGCTATTCCCATCTTCTCGTAATCCTAAATTATCACTGTTTTGCCAAATATAGTAACACTAAAAAAATGAGAAGTTTTATTGAATCAAGTACAACATCTTTTTTTTTCCTTGCTGGAGACAAAGTTGAAATACATTTCCACTTAATAAAAACTAACTCTTCAAAAGAAAACTTTAAAAATTTACTCTTTGAAACTATTCATGATTCAAATTGGTTTCTTCAGAATTAGGTGAAACTCACATTAGTTCCAGCCATCTCAGAAAGATACACACCCCTTTAAACACCATAGAAAAGAAGTAAGCTTTAAGTGGACAAACAAACAAACAAACAGAAAAAGTGCCTTCTGTCAGTCATTTTGGCTAAACACTATAGAATGGCATAAAGAAGAGGTAACCAACCTATGATGATTCAAGTACTGTGTACAAGAGCTAGTAAGGAAAGGGTACAGTTAAAGACTTTTGAAACCTGAAAAATTGAAATTTTAGAGAAAGTCATGTGCTGGAGAAAAAAAGGAAGGAAAAAAAAAGAACATATTCTGAGCCAAAAATGTCACAATATCTAAGAGACAAATTTAAAAAATGGTGCTGTTAATAAAAATACTTCACCATAGTTTTAACAAAAATTTTGACCCACAGTAGGCCTATATTTGAGAACAAGTGTATGCATGTGAGCTTCCGTGTCCATGTGTTCTCAGCAAAAGTTGGCTTTTTCATAAAACGTTTACAGAATATAGCAAAACGCAAACAATAATTCTGTCAGTCTTTAACAGAGATACATCAGATTTGTCACCAGGCAAATAATATTCTCTATCACACCATCATTTGGGTTTAATCTAGGACTTGGGAAAAAACTACTGCAAAATTTATGATAAAGTCCATCCACTGATTATTTACATGACTTTCAATTTCATACTTTTTTGTTTCCTGGTTTAAATAATACAAATTTGTGTTGTGGCACCATTCACTCTCGGAACCAGATCTGTCAGAACCAATTTTAAAATAAGTCTTCCAGTGAAATGCAACACAAAATAAAATAAAAGAATAGTAAACAAAAAAAAAAAGGAGAAAGCAAGAAGTCCTTGAAAAGCCTGCAAAAGGGTGTAAGTATCAACATTTGGGAACACCACGATTCAGCGAGTCGGCTTAACAGTGTAAACTGGCCACATACAGCACTTTTGACCAACAATTTGCCCAAGGCAAAGCTACTGGGAACATCTTTTCTCGAGTTAGGGAAAAAAGTCACTCCAGTGTGATTAACACAGAGATCTGCCTATGAACTGTGAATTCTGAACAGCCCCAAATCGTGGATACCTCTGGAGGCCAGAAAATTGCCCAAGGGCACCCTTTGATGTGCTTTAACAATGGCCAGGTGAGTAGCCCTGAATCATGGTATAGCCCCAAAGTTCCAGGGGGAGGGGTATGTGAGAACCATGTTGGCTCAGACCAGTGGTTTGACAGGATATTTAAATATAACTGATTTGGCACCTTGCAAATTGTAAAGAAGAAATAAAGAGAATATAGATCACTATTTGACTTTATCATTAAAAACCTTTAAAACAAATCATACAATAAAAAGGCAATATTGACATTAAAGAAATAACATAGGGAGTGGTTAATAAAGCAGAACAAATCAAAGAGACTAGATTTTTTAATGCTGTTTAAATAACATTTTCACAGAGAATTTTACTCGCAACGCTTGGGGGTGGTTTTTTGGGGGTGGTTTTTGGGGGGCCTCACAGCAGTCTCATGTATGTGAAGCATATGAAAGAGTAGTTATTAGAAAATTATCATTACTGAAGAAAATAATCCTTTCAGAAAAATTGTTACCTCTAATCAGGAGCATAAAGGTTTCCTTATTTATTACACATATGGACTATAACTTTTTGTCCCTCACAAAGTTGACCAGCATCAAAGGAAACCAGCATTGAGATGCAAAAAAGGTAACAGTAAAGTACACTCAACCCCCCCTCCCCCCCTTCCAACGTCTTTAAGCATCATCACAATTACAGCACACCATTTCCTGTACCTGTAAAACCTACCTGTGACCTTGGTGGATGTTGGACAGTAAGTCAAGCAGTTCAAAAGGGGGGGAGGGGTGTTGGACGTGATGTGCTTTTCTTTACTTTTGCCCCCTCCTCCAAAAAAAAAAAAAAAGCCTGAGAGGTTGACTTTTGACCTTGTCATCCTCTCAGAGTGGTTCAGAAAAGTACGGAACAAACACAGCTGGTCTGCTACATCACCAAGGTATGAGAGCTCATTCAGTCTGCAGTTAAGTTGAACTATATGCACTTCAGGAAATAATGGAACTCACAGATAGTTATATTGATGCTTGCATATATATATATGTACATTGAAACATGGGGATCAAATACGTGAATGAGTATGACGTACTGAAGAAACAAACTTAGCTCAGATGAGCTGAGATCAAACCCTTTGTTTTTTAAACGTTGTAGAGAATACATTCATACACAAAAAAGCAACCCAAAAAAAAAAAACCAAACAGGAAAGAAAGAAAGAAAAGGAACAAAAATTTGAAATAAAAATGCAGCTCAAGAAATTGAGATATAATAATATAAGCATTTTGAGACAAAGCAGTCGAGTCATCACAATTGTTCATGAGACGCTAAGATGTCTCAAGACAAAGCAGGTTGAATAAAGCATTATTACAAACTATACATCTTTCTCTTTCATATAGTAGATAATCCAACAAGCAGATATCTATAGATTCAAGACATTCCCCAGACCAAAAGAGAAGACAACTGCACTCTGATCTCTCATAAAGCAATCAACACCACGTACCCTCCTCACCCATAGTCAATCTTATAATCAAAAAAAATTTTTTTTAAATTGGTAAAGCCAATGCCACGGGTATTTGTTTAAAAAGGACTACAACATTCATGAAAATTGGTAATTCGTATTGAGAACAAAAAGTTGTCAATAATTTAATGTTAACCCATACAACTTTTATTTCCTAAACTACAGAGATTCAAACTACGATAAAAGACAGCTATTACCATAGAAAGTGAATAAATCGTCTTCAAAATAAATGTCAATAGAACTAAAATATAAAACAATACTTTTCTCATTCCTTAGGTCCTCTTGTGACGTAGAGTATAGACTAAGATGTTACAAACACCATGCACAGATCTTGAGAGAAAAACAATCTGTGCTAAAATGTGAATGGTTGCCTTTGCAAAATGGTTTTAACTCTTTGTTTTCAGATGCACAAGATAGCACACTTGATTACTCTCAATGGTCCCATCACCTTGATATCGTCGTCGATAGAGTACATATAAAAAATAAATGCATGAAAAATGCCAGTAGAAGATAAATACTGGTAAAAACAGGGTCTACTGTAGATGTGGGCAGATAGGAAATAGTTTGGCCATAAACATGGCATCATCGCCCTTAACCAATTGTTGTCCCACATGGCACATGATGTAGAAAACTAATATGAGAATAAATGTAAGGGAATGTTCAACAGGTATGCTCAAGTCTATCAACTACTACATCACAGCATCTGGCAGTCTAAATAATTGACAACTAAGTTAGCACCATGAGAACACAAAAACAACAAAGAGTAACGTTTTCTTTCTGTCTCACTGAATAACCAAGGGGAAAAAGCAATACAGGAACAATACATTTGAGATTGTGGGTCATATATTTAGCTCAACACAGTACACATGTTAAAGCTGAAAAAAAAGAATACTTACAAATAAGAACAGCATATCAGCCAAAGGGCATCGTAAACTACTTGAATAATATTACAATATTATCATTCTTCAGCAAGATGTGCTCTCAACGAGGCCTCAGTCACCCGAAATTTCATAAGACGAAGTCATCATCTGAAAAATGCTTCTTATAACTTCCCAATTTAAACTATTTATCTCATATGCTATGATTTACTTTCCCCAACTCATTCACACTTTCTTTCGAAAGAAAATGGCAATTAAAACAAAAACTTTTGTACATTCAAAATAACTAGGAACCCAGGTTTTGTTCATCATCATAAAGTTGCATTAATATTTCAAAAGGAAAAATTGCACTTAAACAAATATGACTAGAAACACAGCATTTCAAAGATGAGCTTGATAGCATGAACACTTTGAAACTGGAGTCTTCTAAGTAGTTAAACACCAACATCAATCTAATAAAAGTCATAGTCTTGTTGAGGCTGTCATCAATATTTCTTCCAAGCTCGTGACAAATCAACAATTCGATTTGAAGCACCGTGATGCATTTTCATTGTGAAAGAGCCACTTCAATGACACCATTTCAAACATAGCAAGAATTACCAAACAACAACTTGACTATGTGAACATGCATCAGAAGTAGACTGGTAAACAACAAGTGGTGGTGGTAGCTGAGTGATGGCTGAGAGGGTTACAAAAGACAAAGGTTCAAGAAAATCATTTTTAAAAAACTTAAATGCTGCCTGCCATAATAACAACATGTATCCCAAAGTTGAAACCTTAATAGAATAAGGAATAATGCTGTCTCGTTAGAGGCAAAAGACTTTTATCCTCATTCGTTTTCCTCAGCTGTTGGTTTTCTAAAGCTTGGTGTGAAGCTTCTTCTACATTGAAATGGAAAAAAGTTTACTATTTAAAGTCCGTTCACACAAATAACATTCTCTGAAAAGTCTACATTCAATATAGGATTTTCTAAGCTCATAGCCACACAAATCATAGTAGAGGCCTGAAAATGATGAGTAGTTATAATGAAAAATAGCTGCTTTTGAAACACTGCAATCCAGATAAATGTAAGAGAACCTAATTTTGTCAGAAATTCTTACAAACTAAAAAGAAAAATTAATACAATCTATGTAACTGCTTACTACAAATTTGTTCTGATGTTAGAAAAGTTTTAATACAACAGTCTTAGCACACATACAGAAAGTCCACACTGATTTGGTTCACGAACGAACTTAAAGAAATACAGTCATTCTTCCAGGCTGTGGTGATGTTCCAGTTAGAACCCAATACATTTTGCTATGACTGCTGAGGAATGATTCCTTCCTAATATAACAAACTATCTAGAGCAGTTCAAGTTTTTACAACTCCCTACTTCTACATGTTCAATAGAGTGAAATTTAATACTAGTAAGTTCCATTCTTCAAAAAGAAAAAGAAAAACCCATAAAAAATGAAACAATCCTAAGCTGCTTAGACAATAAGTTGTTCTGACAGAATAATTCACAACACATATGCATTAAAAAATGAACTAATAATGGAAAAATAGAGAAAAAAACTCTTCAAAATTTTAGCAAACTAAAGAAACATGTTACTGACCCCTCTCAGCCACCACCCAGTACTAGAAGAGCAAGGAAAATGTTAAAATAATGAGAAAAATACTGTAACTACACACAAAGTTATTGTCAATAAACATTCAGATCATGTGATGGCAGACATATTAAAAAACCACACAAACAGGTTTGCGAGAACCCAAAAACTTCACTTTGCTGTGAGAAGATGGAGGACAAGTACAACCCTGTCTTTTGCAGTGAATGTAACTAGATACGTACGCCCTTGATATGCACAGAATAGCTTGCCTCATCAAGGAATGGACATGAAAAAGATATTTCTTGATTCCATCAATAGAAAGACTCAAGTGTATCCTTTTATGGTGTCAGAAAGAGAATAAAACAAAAATAAAAATCTCTTACTTTAACATCAAGTTCTGGAGTTTACCCGTAAGATTTAATGTTAAAAAGAGAAACATGAACGTCAACATAATCTCTGGTAAAATATTTTTTTAAGTGAACATACAGATGTACATATTATGTAAATATATTCATGAGCATTATGTATACATAGAGAATCCATTTTCCATGACTAGTGAAAAAGTAAATTTGCATGATTGTAGGCCTCGCTTGGCCACTGCACTATAGAGAAAGTTCTGTCATATTAAAAATAATAAATCCAATGTAAGAGTCCAGCTGCAGCTATATGTACAGCAATGCATCAATTTTTCATCTTAATTTTTTTCCAGAGAGTGACTTTCTTTCACCTAAAATTTTTCTTCTATCAGTCTTCATTAATAATATCAGGAATGAAGAAAAATGGTTTTAAGAAATAAAACAGCCCAGAGCAATGCTCTACAGGAATCAGAACAGCCATGGCAGCAAATGGCAAATGCCAGTAGAATCTAATGCTGTGACCCTGCCATGCACACGTGCAAATAGCCGTCTATAAGCCACAGGTCGAACACAGAACATGACAGTGCCCTTGCAAAGGCAAACAACAGCAACTGTGGTAAATTTATCAGTACAAGCTACAAAACCACCAGTCTTGACATCTATATTCTAATGCTGGTTAGACTGCAAATTCATCGAGTACAGTTCAGTATCAGAGACGTGAATAGGCCTATTAAATTTCTGAGTGTATTTATTTCAATTCAAGTAGTCCTTTTTTTTTCAGAATGTTTGTCTTACATCTTTTCAGCTTCTTCAATTCTAAACTTAATAGTGCTCTGCATTTATGCCAAAGTTAAGCCACTGGCTAAATTCAGAAAAGAAGAAAGGAAATGTACTTTATATACAAAATTTATAACATAAAACAATGTGCTGATAATCTTTGTTCATCTTTTCACCACCACAAGCCTGTGAGCAGGAAAATGTTTTTCACACTCAAGATACTCTGTACTTTCTAGGTTCTGAAACAACAATATAAGAACTGGCAATGATACTGATTAAAAAGAGTACAATGGAGTGCCTTGCATTAGCTCGTGAAAACATTCAGGTGCATCAATTTTTGTGGGGAAAAAAAAAACATGCGCGTGAAGAAGTAATCAAGGAGAATGTTATGAACCACAGTAGCCCATATGCTGTGCAATAAGACAATCTACTAAGGCAGCGTGTGCCTCATCATCAATCTACACCTTCCCAGGGGGCAACGACATTGGTTTTACTGGGTACAGCAATAGCTAGGCAAGACGTTCCTTCTCCCTTGCTTGAGTCAGCCACATGCACTGAGGTGTGCTTGGGAACTTCTAGTTGTTTGCTCTTCCGTGGACTTTCTTGGGGGGAGCGCAGACTGCGTCTGCCAACCATGTTTGGTGAGGTGTCACTGTAAAGGCAAAATTATGCATGCAAGTCAAGCAAAGTGCAGTGTGTGTCAGATAAGATCATCTCAGTATCAGATATTACATATGTATGCAATTCTACAGAGTGCAAACAGTACTGAGGTCATTCTTTTTCAAAAAACAAAAAAAATTACATCAAAGATGTCCATTTATAATTATGGTAATTCAATAATCTGTGTGTAATTACAGTACAACCTATTATCATTATGATCTGAACTCTAACATCAATTTTATTTCAATTAAATCCCTTTAGAATTAATATTCAAAACCACGTAAAAATTAATCCATTTGAAACGACATCGGAGTGTACTATTACTGAAAGAATATGCATGAAAATGACATGAACAACAATTGAAAGGGATTTTTATTCAAATTTCTAAGTCTCACAGAATACCATCTTTAACTCTTTCCGGACATATCGCACACCCCTAGCAGACATATCGCTGATATATCGGCAATGATGGTGTACCTCAGTTTTGTTTTGTTTTAACATGATCCCTCATTTGTAAGTAGTTATTATTGTTATCGAAAACTTGGAAAGGATTTAGGAAACGAAAACATCCAGTATCACTTTGTCAAAGCGCCATTTTGGTGATAAACAAGTAAATTCGTTCTTGCTGTCTTGCATCAACAGAACAATGTAACCGGACTCAGTAAAAATATCATAACTCAAACAAAAATTGGAATGTTGCTTTCAAATACAAAGCTATGCATTCAGAAATTTGTGGATTATGCTCTTGGCCTATATATGATTAGATACCTATGCAGATTTGCTTTCATATGTTTGGTGAGTGCAGTTATTTTCCGTTAAAAAAATATTTTTCTCATCACCATCACCCATTTTAACCCTTGTAAAACATGCTTGTATTCAAATGTTTGAATGTATTTCTCATTCAATTTCCTTCAATTTGATATATCATATGTTACCTTTTGAGAGATGGCTATGCTTACGTGAGGTTATTTTGTACATCACCAGTATAGCTAAATTGAGCCACAAGTTAATTATGTTTAAACCCCCCCACAAAAAACTATGTCCGGAAGGAGTTAAAGACAGGTAAGTGCTAGGACCTGTCCGATTTTGGCATTTTATTGGAAAAACCCCATACAAAATGGACACCCACAATAACAGTGATGAGAAACAATAAAAATAAGTGAAGTATCTACCCCTTAAAACCTCTCTAAAATTATCTATTGCAAACATAAAAATGAATGTCAATCAAAGAAAATGTCTCATGAACCAAAGTGACAGAAAATAAAAAGTTGAAACCTTCTCATTGGAAGAAATATTTAGCTAGTATAATTATATTTTACAACACAAAATCAATAATTTCATGCACTCATGCCTATCATTAAAAGTGAATCACTATTATTTCAATGTGCATTAAAGGGCCATGTGATATCATTAAAAGTGAATCACTATTATTTCAATGTGCATTAAAGGGCCATGTGATTGCTGAAACCATGACATGTGTCTAACAGGTTTACACATGACACACCTACCATGCAGTGAAATTTGCTTTAGGCAGTTAAAAGGAATCAGAATTTGTATCCTTCTTTCTTTCCCTGTGAAATTTACTTGAAAGCTTAAGGTGAATAAAAAACTGATGCTTTGTAACTACAGAGAAAAACCAAAACAATTGTACAACAAAAAACAGAGTTGATTAAGTATATATAAAAACACAAAGATAATCTAAAATGAATACAAACATTAAAGATATCTAAAGAAATAAAATCTTACCACCTTGCCAAACTGCTATCTGATGAATTAGCATCTCTCCTGAAAACAGCAATTTGTTCATATTCATCTTTAAAATATCCTGATAGCCATAAAAAATTTTAAAGCATTTTCCCCAAAACCCAAGAGAAATCCAAAATGAACAGATCAGACTTCAGGGATGCAAAAATATGTACAAATCTAGAAAACGGACCTCTTAATATTACAACATGAAGGACACATTTAATTGAAAAAGTAATCAATGCTCGAAAACAATCCTAATCATATATTTTTCTTAAGGCCTTACCTCAGTTGAAGCCTTTTGTTGTATGAAATTCAGGAACAAGAATAGACTATGTTTGTCACTTACAGCTTATCCATGGACAAAGAAATAAAAGAAAGCTTCTCAAATATTTAGACCCTACAGCTCAAGCAGGACAAAGTTTACCCTACCCTACACTAGAGAAATGAAGAATTTAGTCAAGCTCAGAGACAGATGGGCAGTTCTCTACAGTGACATATTTCAATTTACTTTTATCATTGAATTAAAAAAAAAAAAACTTTCATAAATCAAGAAACGATCTCAACTTTAGGACAGAAAAAGAGGAAATGGCTTACAAATGCAGCACACCATGCACAGAAAAAGTCTATAAAAATTTAGAAGTTATAATCAGTTTCACTTCAATGTAAACCAACTAAATAATCAAAATATCAATTTTTAAAATTGGGTAAAGAAATAAAGATATTTGAATATGTAGCAACATCAGCCATAAAAGCTGAATATCTTTTTAACAAAAGGACTGAGCCTTCAAGAAAACTTTTAAAGTACATTAACTCTTTATCTCCTAGGAGGGTAAACCCACTATGCCCGCGCCCTTTTTTTGGTACTAAATCTAAAAATGACGAAAACGTCACTACATTGGTCATTAAATTAAAACAAGTCAACCTATTTTGAAAGTTCTCTATCTAATGAATAAAATCCTGATAAAAGAGACCTGTTTTTCGGCAACTGGCGAAAAGTAATTTGAAATGTCGAAGTTGTTGTAAAGGAATGTGCCCGAGCTTCTGTCAGCGGCTCACCGACACAGTAGTACAGACCACGAGCCGCTGGAAGTGGCTTTCCGGAGATAAAGAGTCAATTTAACAAATAATAAAATGTAAAATCCTCATATGATGCGCATTTTTAAAAACTAAACACATTGTATTTTCCCCAATGTGAAAGCTTTTTATTCCCCTCTTTTTCTTTTTTTTTAAAAACCATTCAGTCTCAGTTTTTCCCCATTTATTTCCCAGTTATTAACTGCATTGTCAGGCAAAAAAAGAGACAATACTTAAAGAGTTAATAGAATATTTAGTCACAGTCACATTCAAAAATAAGTTTGACATGCCAACAAATAGTAAATGCATTTTAAAAAACTACTAGCTAGATCCATTTAAAAAATTGAAGAATAATGAAGTTAAATCTGCATTCCTGAATCCACAAAAACATATAGGCGTCACACTGTAAACCAAATGCTGTACTGAAATATCAGTCTTACCGTAACATAACAGTGGATTTGTCATCCAAGTCTCGCAAATTCCCTGTGCTGTAGGAATGATGTGCCACTGTTTGGTTCTCCCCGTCCCCATCATTACTAGCACTGCCTCTGCGCTTTGGCTTCGGACTTGGGGTAAGTGTGTTTTTCTTTCTTGATCCAAAACTGAAGAACCTAATCAGACAAGACATAAAACAAAAAAAAACTTAGTGTAATTCTTAAAACACACAGCATAAACAGCGCATCCAACAGACAGAGCAGAAAAGTAAGGAAAATTCTCTGTTGGGGGTCTGGGGGGTCAGCAGGGTCCAGGGACTGCATCTGGGTTGGCAAAGCCCCTGAAGAAATTAAAAATTAGTGTTTTTAGAGGGTTGAACATGGCAATTGGGAGCCTGTTTGAAGAGTGCCAACAACCCATAATACCTATTTTATCAGTAAGATTTTGTCTTGTTTGATTCCTTTATATGTGTCATGACGCAGTGGAATCAGGTGCTCGTCAATTTTGGGGCATGTAGAGTTACTGGTATCATCTTAAAGTTTGCTTATTTGTCTTGCTTTTGATGAAAAAAATACCCATCAATCTTGAATAGAAGTTGCCTGGTTTCAGAGGTAAAATTGGTGAGGAAAAATCAACCAAAGTTTTGTGACTTCTAGAGCTTGAGTGCTTGGAAACTAAAAAATTACATATTTTGTGCCTTTTATCAACTTTTTTTGGTAAAATCCACAAAGAAATGTGTTTCTAAATAGACATAAAAGGTGTTGAGCCAAAAAATAAAAAAATTCAATAAAAACTGTCGAACCAGTAGAAAAATGACGGTTTCTTCAATTTCATTACTCTGACAAGCGCCCGATTTCACCATGATGCCTCACATGTACATATATTTTTCCCTTACAGGCAATGTTTAATTTCAATTTGTCATCACACCATTCACAGAAAGCAAATCCAAGAACATCAATCTTGATGATACAGTAACCCAGTGTGTATCCTAATTTTCCTCCAATTTCACATCCAAATGGTGATAGTCACAACCTCTGAGCACCACTTCCAATTACACTATTGTTGATTTAGTTTTAGCATCAATTTCTTTTACAGCAGTCTTCATAATACTCCCACAGAATCCTCACACTGACAAGATCAAGACATTTGAAAAAAGTTTCTCTCTGACAGTGATTTTCATTCTAAAATGGTAACTAAATTTTCTCAATCAATACACAGATCTTCAAGCCATGGCAACGATCCAACAATAGACAGAAAGAATGAGTGAATGAAAGAAAGGAGGACATTGGAACTAAAGTTCCGCTATTGTGATCAGGCAGATTTTGACCAATTTGCCGGTAATAATGTATTGCCAACTGACCTGTATTGAATATTGAATAGAAGGATAATGGCCAAGTACAGGAAATGCACAATCTGGTAGGTTTCTAATATAACTTACGGCCAAAAATTACAGTAAATATCCATATGGTAACCCTACACTATCGCACTTTATTACAGTTGGCAAGTATGGAACTTTCCAAAAATACAGATTTCTGTAAAAAATACGGGAGATTGAAAGCACTGATAAAGTATGGTAAACCTTTTTTATGAAGTATTTGCTTAAACCCTTGCCTGCTCTGTGGGCGTACCCGGTGCGCCCTGCGCTATGGGTGTACCTGGTACGCCTGAAAAAACCCTGTTTTGTTTCGCCCATATCTTCGCTTCTACACAGTTTTGAATAACAAGAATTACATCCCTGTATTCTCCGTCCACTTGCCGATGTGATAATGCCTATTTTTAGGCTACAAGTCCCAGGATTCGCAGGTAGTAGCTATACAAAGAGACATGGTGTGTAGTGTGTTTTGCGCGAAAGACGAAGTCAGTCTGCCTCTCTGAGATTTTTGCATGCAGTGTACAATCGCCACGATGGCTTCGCAAAGGTTGACTAGGTCCACACATCAGGTCAACGCAGAAATTTATCGAGATGTAGACAGGGATGACAAAGATTTCAATTCATCTGTAGAAAATTTTTGTCATACATCAAATCTCCAAGATGACAGGGATCTTGAATACGGAGATGAAATTTTAATTGTTAAAAATCTCACTTTCACCTGCCAAATTCTTCTACAGAATACTTATACCTAAAAACGAGTAACAACAATGGACTGTTTGTTCATTTCTCTTTTATTTGACATATACTTTGCTACATCAAGTCCTTACAGTAAGCGAGCAACAGCCATTCAAAAAGCAGATGATGTCATACACAGCCACTGTGGAAATTTCCTTTGCACACATGGTGGACTTTTGGTCAGCAGTCAAGGGGTTAATATGCTCTCACAAACTATGTCTTGCCTTCAGCATGACGAAATACTGGGGTGTATGGGGGGAAAAGCTTAACTATGAGTATATCATGTGACAACAACTTACTTTTTCTTCCCTCCTGGTTGAACAGCATTAGCGAGCAAGTGTTTATACTGTTCAGACCGTAAAAAGCGCTGATAAGTATCCTTTTTCATGAGAGAAAATACTTGCTCTTGGGCTCTGTCAAAAGTGAACCTGAGGAAAATATGGACAAAGATTAGTTCTCAAGAATACTCTTTTCTAGTCAACTTGATTTAATTAAGCAAAGATTAAAAAGAAATGTGAAGGCTTAAAATATTGATAGGTAGCAAAAATTGATTCTATCAAGAAATAAGCTTTATAATAATTTCTTTACGAAACACAAATACATCTGACCATAAGTATTATCATGCTAAGGTCATAGAACAAATATACTTCTAAAAGCTTCAATCCATGCGCTCTCTTCCCCAGATACTGGATTTTG